CTTCGAAGCGGTATCTCTGGATATTAGCATAACGGTAAGGACTACAGTCACTCTAACCAACCTCACAACATGGATGACGTCACGTTTGAATTCTTCAAAAATACTCAATTTTTCTCCACCGCTCGGCAATGCGAAGACCGCATGTTAGGATCAGGCCACACCAAAAGATCGTGGATCTTGATCTGAGAATGCGACCATACCCAGCTTATTCATCAAAGTTAGCAGTCTCTAACTACTACCTTTTTTGATCCCTACCGCATCCTTAAGAAGGCAAAATTCCGAAAATCGACGTCTACTCAAAAATGAGGTCCACCTCTTCTTCTTATCATAGTTGCCGTAGTTCTATAAGAATGGAAATGAGAAGCTGTGCAAAAGAAGGGCACTAGTCCTAGTCCTTAGTGGTGATTACCTTGTAGATTGGAGATGTCTTTTAGTGACTGAAAATTTAGTCCGAAAAATTGGTCAAAGTGTCGCAGGACTTTTCGAACAACCTAATAGTTATATGAACTGCCGGTGAGAGAACGGACGATCCTTGCGAACTTGTGATGAGTGATGGTCGTTCAAGATTCGGCAGCGGCCACACATTGGCAAGGGTACGGAAAGACCATTTCGATGGCATTATAGCTTCACGCGCGCGGCATTTCCTTGACGCGTCAGCTTCAGCCTTAGTTTTTGGACATTTTGTGAGTATGTCAGTCCAATCAAAAATGTCTGACAATATTGGTTTAAGCTAAACGACTCAGACCTGCATTTTTTCATAGTCCTGCCGTGAAAGGAAGGTAAGGTTTGAGGGGGAGGGGAGCAGGTAGGTAAAGCGAGGAAGCTGCTGGAGCGCTAAAGAGTGCGGACAAACGTTTAATCAATAAAAGATTGAACCTGACCAGGCTCACAAGAAGAATGGTCGCCTTGCATGCTAGGAGAAGTTCGAAGTTTGATCACGAGGGAGAGAGAGAGAAAAAAAGAGAGAGAGAGAGGGTGAGAGAGAGGTGAAAGTGACTTCAGAAGCGTCAAGTGAGGCGTCAGGCGCTAGGTAAGGGCCGATGAATCATTGTCGCGTATAGCTCGACTTCTGGGCTTGCTGAACGGCAGTGGACAAATTAGGTGCTGGTGCAAATGTCGCCCGTTCACCGCTTGTAACAATGCTTTCATCACGCGAAAACCCGGATCTCCTGACCTATGCTTCAAAAATTTAGTTCGTCGCTTTTTCGGCGTAGTAACCAGCTGCGGAGGTTGGTGAAACAGACGGTTTGTTTGAATAACCGGCAAATTGAACTATCCCTATTTACCCTATTCTGAACTATCCTTATTTACCCGATTCTTATGTATCCTTGTTTTACCTAACGCTTAATTTTTACTGAAGTCTTTTCTTTAACACATTCCTTTTTCTTCTAACTTATTATATTGGATATTCAACAACTATTTTTTGTCTTTTTTTGCTCTTACAACTGCAAAATACATTTTTTGATTATAAGACGTGTTTTCAAACAACATGAAAGTCATTAGATTGATCAAAAAAAATTACAGCTATAAATATGAGAATACAGAAGTTTCCTAACAGGTATTTCCATCAAGTCATGGTTATCACTATCATGATCATTCCTGTCACACTCTTTTCAATCATTCTCATCCTTTTCACCAAGACTGGCGTACTTCGGACCACTGAGAATTTGCTTGGCTTCGTTCGCATATTCACAATCGGGATCCGTCGACATTTCCAACACCTGCAACTCATATTGTTAAGCCCCCAGGCTTCATGGGAAGGCTGCGCCAATGAAATACCTTGTCCAGGTAGGTCCGTGCCTTCTCATAATCCTGCATAGCGTCATAGATTTTTCCTATGTAGAAGACATATTCGGTGACGTTTGGCATGAGCTTGTCCAGCTGAAATAGAGTCGTACCAAATCATTCCAGTATATGTACTGCACTATAGTCACTTATATGTACGCCATTTCCGAAGTTTGGGTCAAATCTCGCTCTGGCTAAAAAAACACAGGAACTAGAGAACCTATTGACTCGAGAAGGCCTGTCACCGACGATTGGGGGAAGACAACAGAACTTGCTGAGCACTACTGTGGTTCTAGTTTTTAGAGGATCAAACTATCCCGGAGACGATTTCTTTGCCAGTTCCACTCCCGACGGCCAACTCTACTTTGAAAAGAAGAGTCGTAAAGTTCAAATATTGGTCAGAGTCCCACAGCGTCTGTAATTTGTTAATTTTTTTCCCAGAAAACAAACCAACACAAAACGTGCTCAAATGAGTGGAGAAGACAGAGGTGCCCCCTAAAGGTCAGAATTTTGGAATAATTTCTGTTTCTATTAATCTATTCTTTCAGTTCGAAAGGAGTCATTTTAGGCGAAAGTGTCTGAGCCAGTAGAAAAAAGCTGGATATATGCATAGAACTCACAGCACAGAAGTCCTGAAGTGCTTGATCGAGACTTGTATCGGGACCGTTCCCAACAGACCGTTTCTCTCGCTTGCCAATCGCTGAGCACTGTAAAGAACTGCATTAGATACCCACACAGTGCCTGAGTGTAATAACTCAAAAACGCAGTTAGCTTAGAGGTGCAATTCCACCCCCTCCCCATAACCGCTGAGGTTGCACTTCTCTGGGGAACAAAGTTACTAGGGGAAGTACGCTGAGGATTTGTGATTCTATGTGTCCACCCCCCCTCATTATAAAAACGTCCAGACGGTCAGTCCTGGAGGGGAGGGGCTAGCCTAGCGATGCTGGATCCCGTAGGAAAGCCGCTCCTCCTTTCCAGATTAAATTATGGCACGGGCACGCCGCCGTCCCCCACCGACAACGTCAACCTTGGCACCTAAATCAAGCGGATACTGGTTCCTACGTACTTTTTTTCCGCTCAGCCCTCTGGTCTCTCGCTCGCATGGTCAATTTCTATCCTCTCTGCACCAGAAGCTTCTTTTTTATTTAACCCTCATTACCTACGTCTTGCCATTATGAAATGTACTTCCTTCGCTGTAAAGCGTTTCAATGCATCCTAGCCGAAAAACTCAACAGCTTTCTGGAAGCATGCAGAACTCTAAAGGGAGTGAGGGAGTGAATTGTAGAATTATGGAAGGAGGTACATTACTAGTATATGGCCAACACTACATTATGCTCAGGACAAATCTTGGCGTTGGCAAGAAAGTTTAATGAACACGATTCCCCCTTCCCTACACCCTCTCCCAATTTGTTCTCCAGTACGGCCCTCTTCCAAAACCGGCCAATTATCCAAACTTTTCCTGAAATTTGTCGTCCAGTACGGGGAGGGGGGGAGAGGAGAAAGAGAACCAACAATAGAAAAAAATTTTCTCAGCCCAAGAAGGGCTTCCCCGAGGGAAGAATCCCTCTCGGAAATCCACCAAAGCACAACGTGTTTTGATTGTGCTTTTACACTGTAATGACCGCACTTGACCATACCTCGTATCCAAATCGTGCTCTCATATCGAGAAGTTCACAGTTGCAAGGAGAGGTTTCGATAGCTTTGTCGAGGTAATCCTGAACGAAGAAATTCCTGAAAACTTAACTAAGCTTTCTATTTCTGTAACCAGTTTCTGTTTGTGGCATCATATTTGTGACTGTGCACTACCTATTCACAAGTGTCTGGCTTTCGTTTTTAACAACGCATTCAAGCAGCAAAGATCGCATTTATGTATCTTTTGGAAA